AAAAATCGATACTATTATTATGCTTGTTGATTTCTTCTGTGCCATGAAGGTTGGCAGGTGGAATCTCTATTAGTGGCCCGACGTTTCGACTAGATTATCTTCATCTGATGCGTAACCTGGCTCGTGGTTCAGAACTGCCCTCCCTAGACCGCCAAAGACCTTTCCTCTCCAACGCTTCTTTCCAACTATCAAGAAAACCAACGGAAATCCCGAATAAATCACAGTGAGTGAGACTTACATGGTGTGCCAGCCTAATTTAGCAGCTATGGTCGAGAATGGCACGTCCCACCGCTCACATCAGGCTGTGTTCATGCTTTGTGGCAGCGCCCCCCCCCCACTGCCAGCTTCTCGAGGGCTAGGGAAGTATAGGTATCAATCTAGCGTCTGCTAGCGTCTATCAGCGTCTACCAACGTCCACCAGCGACCGGGAGTAGAGAGTATGGGGAAACAGGAGGGCAGCAAACAGCTAGATTAGACGTCGCGAAAACGCGCGTGTGCAACCGTACCGTACAATTACACTACACCGTACATTAATTTGCATAATTCTGTGCTTTAGCAGTTGTGGCGTGCGGTTGCGCACGGTGCAACTGCTAAAGCAACTGCTTAGTCATATGACGCCTAATCCAGCTGTCTTGCTACACCTAATTCCCAGCTCTCTAACCGGTCGCTAGGGTGACGCTGGTAGACGTTCAGACGCTTCAGATGCTAGATCGATACCTACACTTCCCTAGCTCTCGAGACGCTGGTGGGCGCTGGCAGATGCTGGACGATATCAATACTTCCCTGGTCGTTGGACTGCAACGCTCGGTGCATAGTGACGATGATGCCACGCTGTCGACGAAGTGTGAACACAGCCAGCAGCTCGCAGAGCCACGACACAACTAGGCAAAAGATCATTTATTATGAATACGCACTTAGAGCGGTTGTTCAGTCCAGGACTTCGCTCTTGGGACGGCAATAAAAAATGAACCGAAGTAAAATATTTAAAAAAACAACAAAAGTTGGGAAGTGTTTCCAAGCCGAAAATTTCAAGAACAACTTACTTTTTTACAATAGCACGATCAACAGCATAAAGAGCTGTATTAGGGTCACTGATGCCGTTCACTACACGCACAACAGGCATCATTCCAGCGACAATCGATGTGTCACTAAACGTTGGTAGATTGTATAAAGGGAAAAATCGATACTGGCGGAATTTTGGCTGAAATTAAGAAAGAAATCAAAAGTCTGAAAAGCCCATACCGTGTAATCTTCAATCGCTGTCGCATATATTTAACAATGGCCAGTTTTATCAGTGAGCAGAATACTATACAGAAACATACCCCTAAAAACCAAGTTCATTGGGAATTAGTTTTTACTCTCTGTAAGTCATTTGAAGCGTACTGTGCGCGTTTATGTTATGAAATACAGTCCATATCCCAGAGGTGAGGGGGCGTGTCTAAAACGTAGTAGTGAATGAAGCGACGCCAGGCAGCCGAGTGTTCGGTTTGAGACGAAGGCAGCTCGTTCATAAGAGAGCGCGGAAAGGTGCAAGAAATAGTCGATACTCCGTCACCGTTCTCTGTCTGGAGTGGCAACTGCCCACAGGTACGCGGCCACTGCCTCGATCTTGAGGCCGTGGACACGCCCTAGCCCATCTCCGAGATATGAAGGGCAGCCGACCATGTCTCGCCATGATTCTTTCTTTATTTATAGAAGTTTTTCTGCTTCTCCTACATCAAATGGTGGGGGAGAACAAAAAGGATGAACCGGTAACCCTTCAAAATTAAAACTAGACTGCATTCGAAAGTCGAATTTTACGACTCATGAAGGGATCAGGGTCCGTTTCACAGCCGAGTCTTTTACATCACGCAGAAAAGTGTTTCGAGAACGAGGATTTGAATTACCCTCGTTCTCGAAACCATTGCTTAACTTACCAAGATACACATCCATTGCTTTAATATAACTAACTCGTGGCATTACTTCGTTGTAGGAGAACAGTAAAAATGTGATTGTTAAAATAATCGATATCATATCCTGAAAAGAAAGAATACTCGGTTCACCTTAACTTCTGCAATCAATCGCACATTCCACGCTGGTCGTATGGGCGGAACCAACTGGATCGTTTGCTCTTCTTCATGACGGACCACACCTTTCAAAATGGAAAAGTGCGGGGAACACCAATGAAGAAGGCACAACAGCAAAGGGACCTCACCC